TTAAGAGCCGAAATCTCAAATGTAGGAAAATAAGAAAGGTAGCCTTGCCTTAACTTCTTCATATAAGCTCTTACTTCTTCTTCTTTCTTTTTTTTTTTTTTGACAAGGGTAATGGTTAAAAAATTAGTAAATTAGTTGTTAGCAATTGGTTCTCAAACTGGGTGAACATTTCACCCCCTCAAATGAGGCGCGCGGCTATCAAGTCACTTTTTAGTGGAGTTCACGACGGCGGTGGAGCTCGAAACTCCAACCACCTTACCCAAGCACTTAAGGCCTCAGGTCAAACCATTGGACCTAAAAATCCGGTTCATAAGCTCTTACTATTTTTTCTTCCTTTCATTGTTGATGGCCCGAATGTAAGAGAAGCGTTTATTGCATTGCAAAATTTGGGACATATTTATTATCAATTATCCCTGTTGATTCTTTATAATTACAGATAATTCATATTAAAATTAAATCTCAACTGAATGATATTCATAATACCCATAAAGTGCTTAATAAAATATATATCACATAAGATATTTTGAATGAAAGTAGATTGACGCTTTGTAATTAAGGATAATTCATTATTAAGTGAGAAGGATATTCTTAAAAACAAAGAAATGCAAATTGAGAATTGAAATACAGTTTCTTGTTTTTATTTTGTAATTGCAATTAAAAACAATTATAAAAAATAGGAATTTGAAGAGGTTAAAATAACAACTAATAATAATGGAGCATAAAGCACGTTGGATCAACTTCCTTGAGCTCACAAATATTCAGTCTCCTCAGCATTACTTAGCTAAAAGACATTGCTAAAACTATTAATGAGAAGTACTACGGAGTAAATGAAAACCCTAATTCTGTTGGGTAAAATCTTTTTTATTTGGTAAAAAAAGGTTAAATCTTTGAATGCTGAACTTGTAATGATTGAAGTGAAAAGCATGCACTGCCGAGGGTGCATGAATTCACGCTGGAATTGGATAGGATTGGATTTTACTTTGGGATCCTACTACTTTATTTTTTTAAAATGATTTTAAGATAATTTTTTAATAAAATTTATATCAAAAAATAATATAAAAAACTTATTCTTATAGCATCGATCATCCTTATTTTTTATCATTATTTTTTTTACTATACACCTAATAATAAGTTATATAAGAAATAGTAACCCTATCTTATTTTCAAATATCTCATTATCTAACTCAAGATTCAAATTTAAAATTTTTAATTTAAAGTTTCAAACTTTTAATCAAGGAAAATGATTTTTGATACATTTTTATTTTACTTTTTAATATAATTTGATATATTATTTAAATGGTTAATTTTTTTTATTTATATGAAATTTATGATATTAAATATATTTATTTATTTAATAATATATAAAAATTATATAAAAAATTAATATAAAAAATTATCTTTATAATACTGTTTTTAACGGATTGAAGTTTCTCTATCACCGTATTAATAGCATCGTTACCAACGAGGGGTTGGATCAAATGGTAAGCGGCTTGTTTCAGCTTAAGTAAAGGTATTGAGTTCGAGACTTTGTGAACGCAACAGCTTCCGCTGGAAGACTCACCTACCATTTCCAAGTACGCGACGCGGGTCGGATTCAGATTAATCGGGACGAAGCCCCGGATACCGGACAGGAAACCGAAAAAAAAATAGCATCGTGATTGGCATTTTGTTTATATTACGTGGCGAACAATGACTGGCTAGGAAAGTGACCAGGC